GTCCAACCCTTTCTGGGCCCTGGCCGGGCAGACTTCACTCACCTCTTCACAGGGCGATCCAGAAATCTTCATCCGAGAACATGGCCAGAGCCCGGGCCGCTCCCCGACCTCCAACCGCCAGAGCGATCACAGCCGCCCCCCGCACGGGGGGGCTTAGGGGGGCCAAGAACGGTAAATCCAGGTCGGAGTGGCCACCCTCCTCCCCCCCCAAAAAAAGCAAGACGCCAAAGAGGGGTTCTCTGCCTCGGGTTCCAGCAGTTTAGGTTTCCATGGACAGCCCCAGGGCGGCGAATCCCGAGCGGACACAAAGAGAGCACCGGTGGCTTTGATCTTGGGCGAGAAGGCTTCGCATCCGCGTCGCCGGGCGGCCTCTCAGTCCTAGGGCCGGGCCAGCGCCCCGGCCGCCCGCGCCGGGCTCGGGCGGAACGTCGAGGCTCTCCAGATGGAACGTCGAGGCGCCTCCCCAGCAGCCCGGAAGGAATGCCGCGCCGCCCCGCGCCGGGCCCGGATGGAACGTGAGACCCTCGCTGGAGCGCCGAGTCCCTCTCCCCGCCCGGGCCGGCGCCCCGGGGCCGCGCGAGCTACGGCGACGCGGAGCCGGCGGGGCCGAACCTGACACACACCCAACGCCGGGCTCCTCGACCCCAAGCGTTCGCCCTCTGAGGCTTCGAGCCCCCCACCTTCTGCTCCCCCCCGGGGAAGGGAGGAGGGTAGGTGGGCGAGGAAGAGGAAGGGGCGGGCGGTGCGAGCCCTCTGCCCGCTCCCCTCCGGCCGCTCCAGGCCCTGCGCTCGCCTCCCTTCCCCTCTGGCCTCGGGAGCTGCCCCGCCCCCGGCCTGGCCGGCTCTGATCGGCGGCACCCCCTCGACCCCCGGCTGGCTGTGATCGCGGGGGGCCTAGAGGTGCATGGCCCAACCCCGGCTCCCGGCACCGGGGGGTCAGGAAACTGAGCGGAAAGTGGGGAACGAGGCAGCCATTTGCAACCGGAGAGGAAAGTAGTGCAGCGCGGCGCCGCTCCGCCTCCCCCCCCTCCGCCTCCTGTTCGGCCGGTAGGGTGGTTCCTGCGAAGGGGCTATTTCCTGGCCCAAGATCTCGGCAGCGGTCGTGGAGATTCAGGAAGCCTCCGGCGCGAGATCCGGGGGGACCTTTTGCCTGGGGAACCCCACTCGAGAAGCGGAGAAAGGAGAAGACGCGGCCCTATTTTGTGTTGGAGCGGAGCGGCGGAGGGATACGGCCCTCTCGGAGGAAAGGTTGTGACTCTGCAGTTCTACGCACACGCTGTGGGATCCCTCCGCCTCGGGTTAACCCCGACTGCGCCGGGCCGGCCACCGTGCAGACACGTGGGAAAGAAGCCCCCCTTCTCTGCACCCCGGCCCTGGACCTGCCTCCTTCACTGCCCGGCTGGTGAAACTAAGACTCCGGACACTTTCTAGTTCCGTTCCCTTGCAGTTCTCGGTCCCTGAAAGCACCTGCCCCCTTGCCTTGGCCAGGGGCAATCTTTCGCGGGAGGGGGATGGAAGAAGAGCCAGGAGATTGGCCGCTGCTCTGCATCCTGGGAACTGGAGTCCGCAAATGGAGAAAGTGAGGCACGGCGCCTGGCGCTGCAATGGGTGGGTTCTTGCCACGTCTGGGGGGGGCCGAAGGAAAGCGGGACAAGTCCCTGTTCGTTCTTTCTACCTTTCAGACTCCCTCGTGAGGAAAGAGGAGCCAGTGCCCCCAGAATCACCACACACACCTCCCCCATCAAAACATAAATGTGGAGTTTCCTTCCTTTCCTGGGTGCTCCCATTCCCAACCCCAGTCTTTCTCTCGGGACCTTCAGGCCCTGTGTCCCCTTTTTTAGTAAACAGAGGGGATGTACCTTGCAGCCTTGGAGCCTTGCTGCTACCTGGCCAGAGTGCTATTACTCTAGACAAGATCCCAAAACACTACTTGCAGGCATTACCCCCCACACACACCCCCATATGTCTGGGTGAGAAGGGATTGGAATGCCTTTTCTGCATTAGCTGTAACCACGGATGACCAGAAGGAGACAAATTAACTATATGCTAGATACTTTATATATTCTTAGTTATTTCTCACCCTCGTTATGAACTACGTGGAATTAAGTCTATGATGATGAGATTGAGGCTAAATAGGTAAAATTTCCCAGTGAACCACATCGGGTGACATCCATGATTCAAACCAATGGCCATGTTTTTCCTAAGATTGTATATATTTATATATCAGAAAAAAATTTTTTAAGGATGTGGAGAAAGAGGCAAATCATGTACCGGGCTGGTTTTGTGGGAAAGGGTTTACAGTGTTGTCCAGCAGAATTTTCTGCAATGATGGAAATGCAGTATAGCTACACTGTCTAATTTGGCTTAGCCACATGTAGCTGTTGAGCACTTTGAAATGTAGGTGGTGCAACTGAGGAACTTTTTGTTTAATCTTAATACTAAATTAAACTATGCGAATTGTAGCTTCCAAATTGGACAGTGCAGAAAACCTAAATCCCTACAGACCAGCCAGGTTCATAGGAGGGATCAGAACTAAGCATATCCTGTGCTAGCCACACAGTGGCATCATATAACCTGCTCTGACCATGCAGGTCTAGTTCAGCAAAAAAGTCCCAACAGTGACCCCGCACATGTCCCAGCTATATTGAATAAATTAACGGAGATAGAAGTTGGGAAATGGGAGCACCTGGCTGGCGTAGTCGGTAGAGCACACGACCTATCTTGGGGTTATAAGTTCAAGTCCTACATTGGGTGTAGAGATTACTTAAAAATAAAATCTTTAGAGGTGCCTGGGTGGCTCAGGCATTAAGTATCTGCCTTCGGCTCAGGTCATGGTCCCGGGGTCCTGGGATGAAGCTTCGCATAGCATCCAGCTCCCTGCTCAGCGGGAAGCCTGCTTCTCCCTCTCCCACTCCTCCTGCTTGTGTTCCCTCTCTCACTGTGTCCCTCTCTGTCAACTAAATAAATAAAATCTTTTTTAAAAAATAACATAAAATCTTTAGGGGCACCTGGGTGGCTCAGTCAATTGGGTGTCTGCCTTTGGCTCAAGTCGTGATCCCAGGGTTCTGGGATGGAGCCCTGCAGGGGGCTCCCTGCCCATTGGGGAGTCTGCTTCTCTCTCCCCCTGCCTCTCACCCTGCTTGTGCTCTGTCAAATAAATTTATTTTTTAAAAAAACTTTTAAAAACTAAAATCTTTAAACAAACACTTTTTCTAAAAAGCTGGGAAATGTAAGGTCCCTCTCTATACCTGGAGGCAGGGAGGCTGACCTTCACCAAAAAGATCTCCAGTAACACTATAGCCACCGTTTCTTAAGGGTTTATTATGTATGAGAGACTGTGCTAAGCATTTCATATATCATCTCACTCTAATTCTCTCAACCCTATGAAGGTGTAACTATACTTCATAAATGAGAAACTGAGGCTCAGCCAGGCTAAGTAACTCTAAGTGACTCTCAGGGTCACACAGCTAAGTGGAAAAGCATTCCAACCTAGCCATTAACTACTATTCATTACTTTTATCAGGGCTTTGAGATTGCTTGACACACTTTTAGAAAACTTTAAACATTTGTAAGTCTATCCAGGACCTCATAGAAATGGCAGCAGGGCAATAGATAACCTATAATGAATATTCCAGGTCAGACGTGCAAAAGGACCTAATTTTAACATAAGGAAAGAGTGTGGTGACAACCTTATAGAGAATCCTAAACTACTGAGATTGCTCTTTGGAGAATGCTTCTTCCAGCAGCCCTTATTTTTTTAGATTCTAGATTAGAGATGCAAAAGCAGCTGGCAGAACTTCTGAAAACTAGCATGATAATCACCCCAACTGTAAGCCCAACTAGCCTAGAATTGGGCACTAGCAAGATCACAGCTAAGATTTTGCCCATTCTCCACAGCTAAGTGCATTGACAGAGTACCTCAGACTTCCCTCAGGTGGCAAGAGAAGTCTGTGTTCTCTCTGTGAAGGATGCCATTCCAGTAACCCTAATAAGTCCTTGGAGGAGGTATTGGGCCAGTTAGGCCCTATGTCTGGTGGGGGGTGGGGATAAGCAGAAAGGGTAGAGGCAGAGAGGACCAATTCTTCCTAACTGAGATGTCCGTCCTTCCACTGAGATGGCAGGTTAATAAGAAAGAGTAGAAGTAGGGGCGACTGGGGGGCTCAGTTGAGCAATCGGCTCTTGATTTTGGCTCAGGTCATAATCTCAGGGTCGTGAGATTGAGCCCCTGGAATCTCCTTGAGAGTCTCTCTCTCTCTCCCTCTGCCCCTCCTTCCCCAGGCTCAGGCACATGCACGCTGGCTTGTATACACACACACTCTCTCTCTCTCAAATAAATAATCTTTAAAAAAAAATCAGAAGCAATATCCTTTGACAACTAAAAAGGTAGCATGATTCCAAAGGTGTGAAGGGTGTGAAAAGGTCACCCAAGGTATGAAAAGACCAAAGAACATTGATAGAAAGAATGGCTCTGGGGATATGGTAAGCAGAAGGATGGATATACACCAGGAGCATTATTTCTTACTTTACTCAACTCTCTTAGAAAGCCAAAATCTTCACCAACACTTCAGTCCCTGCCTCTACGCTCCTTTTCTATTACATCACTAGGATGAGGGGCTTCCTTCCTCCCCAAACCTTAGCCTCTCTCTGAGGGCCAGCCAATGCCAAGGCTCCAGGAGGGAAGCTAGGTCAGCATGTGGCAGCTGGCCACTAGAGGGTGGTGTTTCTGTAGTTAAGGGGATCTTGAGAGTCTGCAATCTTGGATGGGAGTGGCTGCCAACTGGTACCTGTAGAGCAGAACCCAGCAGAAAAGAAAGGTGAAAAAAGCTAAGTAGTAAGTCTTAGGGTAATGGTCCTCCCGAATGAGTGAGGAGTAAGGAATAGGAATGAAGTAGGAGGAAAGTGTTAGCCCTGACTCCCCACCAGAAGTCACAGTCCCCACTCCTTGGAAAAGGAGATATTGGCCCTGAGCTCTCCCCACATACAGAGAAGCCAACGACAAAAAGATTTCTCAGTTTATTTGCATATATACATGGTCACCCTAGGGAGCCTGCTCCACTTCAGGAATCCCCAGCTCCCTTCACCAGCCAACACCCAAAACCTGCACAGAAGAGTGGGTCCTAAATAAACAATGCTTAGGACTCACAGTGCAACCCTGCAGGTTGTAACAATTCATTTAGCAAAAACAGAGGACTAGAGGCCAGAGCCTATGAGACATCCTTGGCCCATTGTAAACATTGACAACCAGGCCACTGGAGCCTGGAAAAGTGTGCAAACATGAGGGTACCACACTGTGTGACCTCAGAGGACTGGGGACACAGCTGGCAACCATACCCGTGAAGTCCTAAGGGCCTACAACCATTGGAGCCTGGCAAGTGCCAGGGGCAGAATCAAGGCAGCAACCCAATGGTTGAGGGCTCACATGAGCTGGCAGCGGCGCTCTTGCCCATAGGAATTCTCCACCCGGGCAATCTCCTGGATGACTTTGGTGAAGATGCCTCGAGTCAGCTGCAAGGGACAGAGATTCAGGGCAAAAAAAAAAAAAAAAAAAAAATCAGTTCATTGCCAATACAACCCAGCTCTGAAGTGTATACCCCACTCCCCCATCATCCTCACCACCAAGCAGTGCCATAAGAAAAACACTGCTACCCTGATTTTGCCCATAATCTTCAGGCCAAGCACCTGGTTCTCTCGAGCAGATGACTCCATAAACGTCGCACCCCAGGACTCTGCCAGCTTCTTCCCTTCAACTGCCTGGACCTCCCTAGAAGCAAATTTGGAACATGAAGATGGAAGATAGCAATGTCCCCAGGTTCTCTGCAAAATCATTATAGAATCTAGACTTCTGACCCATCCGTCTTCTAAGGTCTGGGAGATGGGTTGGGGAAGGAGAAAAATAAAGGAGACCTCAGAAACCTAGGACTGAGACTGGAAATATGAAATTATAGCTTTTGCAATAGAGGGGGTATCTCATCTTAACCTTCGAGTTAGAAATGAAAAGAGGTGAAATGATTTGTTCAAGTCCGTGGCAGAGCCAGGACTACAGCCTGACTGATTGCTAGACCATCTCACTTTCCTTTGCCTTGAGCTATAGAGATCTCTGTACCTGTCTGGAGAGAGATCTGCCTTGTTCCCCACTAGCACCACCGGCAGCCTGTGAAGAAATAACAGTTACTAGTGGATCCCCTCCCACTCCCCATGGAACCCAACTTCCTTCACATCGTGGCTGGACAACTCCCCCAGAAGATCAGACAGGATCTGTCCTGGCCTCCTCCCTCACTTGGACCCTCCACTCTCTTCCATCCCCTCATGTCCATACTAGGTTTCTATCTCCCAGGGCCACTTACCGAGTTTTGCCATGGCCTTCATGTAGCTTTTGGTACAGACTCTCAATGACTTGGAAGCTTTAAACACAAGAAATGGAGCTATAAACTTATACTGGGACAGCCCTCAGACCCTCCCAAGTCCCCCTCTCATAACCTTGGTCACTTACCTATGCAGAGAGGTGACAGAATACACAAGCACATAACCATGGACCCCAATGATGAATGAATAGGGCAGAATGCTGTACTCATCCTGACAAGAAACAGAAACATCAACACCTAGATACACAACACTCAGATGGCAAAGGTCGGTGGGTTGCATCCTGGGGACCCTCCCTGGGACGCTCCCTACTCCAGTCATTTCTATTCAACAAGTATTTACAGAGTAGCTCCAATGTGGACTGAACACTACCAGCTGCTAAAACACTTTTCTTTTAATACCACTTTACAAATGAGCCACAGAGGCAAGCAGACCTCATCTCCCAAGATTGAACTGCCGCATTTAAATTACCCTGCCCCAAACTGGTACCTGCCCTGCTGTGTCCACCAGGTGTAGGTGAAACTCATCTTTGCCAAGAGTCACTATCTTGCTGTAAGCTGAAAAGAAAAGAAAACTTGACTGTGAGGTGCCTTGTAGGGCTAGCAATGTGTGCCCCGATCCGTTCTTAAACCTAGAGGTGATATAGAGATGGACGAGGTCCAGGGAGCTCTCCAGGCAGCTGGAGAGACAATGTTAAGGTTCTTATTGTCTGGTCTACACCATCCTGGATGCAGTATCCTGCAAAATCCACACTCTAGCTCAACTAATAGAACAGGATTGCTAGAGAAGAGATTAGATTTAATGGCTAATTAAATCAGCCCCTTGGCACCAGGAAAATCCCAAATTACGGAATTGGGGCAACAAAGACCTCCCTGCCCCACCCCTAGGGGAGAAATCTACTCACTGTTCTCCACTGTAGGATCATAGCCTTCCAGGAACTCGCCCTCCACAAACTGATGTGCCAAAGATGTCTTCCCTGTGGGAAGCAGTGGTAGTTGTATCCAAATCATCCGTCCACATTTACATCCTCTGTCCTTTCGGGCTGTGGCCCAGGACTAAAGAGGACCCCAAATTAGCACCCTAGCCTGTGGGTGCCATGCAATATTTTTCCTTAGCCTACCCTCACCCTCTTTTCGCCTTGGGTCTCTGCACCCTGGCCACCGGATGCATTCAGTAGCGCCGCAGGAAGCCTTTCCCGCTGCCTTTCCCCACCCACCCCTAGGAAGATCCGGGATTCCCCTAGGATCAGGTCTGCCCCGCACCCGGACACCTGAAACTTGCCATCCACACAGACCGCGCCCCCGCCATCAAAGCCTGACCCCATCCCCACCCCTTCCAGGGTAACACTGGGGGCCACTCTGGTGTTCCTGCAACCAAGCCCACATTAACCCTTACATGCTCCTACTTCCTGCAGCCCTCCACACACTACCACCACCAGGCTTTCCTCCTCCATCCTTTCAAATCCTCGTCCTACACCCCCGTTCTAACGATGCCACCATTCCTCTCCGGGTCGTGTTCCCGCGACAGCGCGCCTCCTCTGGCCACAAAGCCGCGGTGCGTTCGTGCTCTCCCCAAGGCGGAGACTCACCTACAGAGCGGTACCCGAGGATGACCACCTTCCTGTAGCGAACTAGCGGCATGGCAGTAACCGGCCCCGAGGGGCTTGCCGAACCGCGGGCTGAAAGAGCCCTAAGAAGAGGAGATCTGAGTGTAAGGCAGGCGCAGCAACTGGCACAGTAAATTCGCTCACCCTGGAGCTGCCAGGGACAAGCTAGAGGGAAACCAAAACAAGCGCCGCGCCCGGAGCTGGCCACGTGATCACAACACAGCAAGACTAACGCGAGGGAGCCGGGCGCCGGGGGATCTACAGTGCCGCGCCGCTCCGGGCTCCGCCTCCCAGGCCGCTTGCCATTGGTTCATTAGAAAGGATAAGGGCGGGGCCGCCAGCGGGAGGGAAGGGTGGGCCTCACGTGGAGCCGGAGAACGAGGAGCTGCGCTTGCGCAGACTAGAGCCGGTTCATTCATAAAGAAACAGAAAGGAACCCGGGGTCCTAGAGGTGTTTGCGCATTTTCAACCTAGCAGAAGTGGCCGCTAAGAACCGAAAAATGGAAAAATACCCGTTGTGGCTCTGTTGGAATTTCTTCTCAGAAGATTCTAGGCTTCCCTTTTGCAAGGTCTCTGAGGTGCTTGGATAGGAGAAAAAAAGGGCCCCAAATTCCAATATATTACCTCTGTTTCCCCTAGACTTCGGCCCCAGATCTTTTATCGTCAATTTCCATAGTCTACCAGGATCTTCGGAAATGCGATTCTTATTCTTGAGAAAATTGTTAGGATTTGTGGTCAGGTCGTCTGAAGTTTTGTAGTCATCCTAATAATCAATGCATTCATTTATTCGACAAATATTTATTATGCATATACTATATGTTTCAGGCATTGTTCTAGCTTTGGGGATAGAGCGAAGAACATGACAGACGTCTCTCTGCTCACAATGCGTAAAGCCTAGTCTGAAGAAACAAACATATAAGCAAGGAAATATTAGATAGTATTAAGTGCTATAAAAGGTAGTATAATAAGAAATGGACACATTAGATTAGTAATACTTCCTCTCAAAGGAATCCCTATTTAAACTGAGGTCTGAAAGACAATAAGGAGCCAGCGAGAACAAAATTCTGACGAAAGAAACCATTAGCGCTATGGGTGCTACGATGAAAATAAATTTGTTAAATTCCAGGAGAAGGGAGGGAGAGAGAGTGTGTGCATCAACCTAAAGCAGGTGAAATCTAAGAGGATGGCAAGGTCCCGGCCATGTAAAGAAGTTTGGGTACCCAGAAAGCAGATGATGATCTGAATATCTGAATTGTGTTTCAAAAAGATTTCCCTGGTTGAGGGACGCCTGGGTGGCTCAGCCAGTTAAGCCGCTGCCTTCCGCTCGGGTCATGATCCCAGAGTCCTGGGATCCAGTCCCACATCAGGCTTCTTGCTTAGCGGGGAGCCTGCTTCTGCCTCTGCCTGCCATTCTGCCTGCTTGTGCGCTCTCTCTCTCTCTCTCTCTCTCTGACAAATAAATAAATAAAATCTTAAAAAAAAAAAAAAGATTTCCCTGGTTTAAATAAATAAATAAATCTCTCTGATTGTGAAGAAATGAGGCGAATAGGAGCAAGAGGGGAAGAAGATCAGTTGGGAGACTTACTTGTAGTCCAGGTGAGAAGTGAAGCAGGCTTGACAAGAGTGGTAGAGATGAATTAAGTGGAGAATTCTGGATGCATTTTGAGGCTGAGGTCAATCTGACTTGCTAAAGGATTGGATATAGGAGGTGAGGGAGGGAAAAAGAAGAAAGAAAACATCTAGGTTTATGGACCTCTACTTGGTGCCAGGTGCATTTTATTGTTATCTCATTTAATATTCACAACAGCCCTAAAGTTGGTAATTGGTGTTATTTATCCATTCATTAACAAATATTTATCAAACAGCCATCATATCCCATGCACCTTTCTAGATGCTGGGAATAGAACAGCAAACAACACAGACAGGGTCATTTGCTCATAAGGAGCAAGTATTCTTTTGGACAAGACCAACAATCTACAAATAAACAACAAATAAGCTGCAATAGAAAAATAATAACTGCAGTGGGAGGAAAAACAAGGTGTTAATGGGCTAGGGAGTAATGGGGTGTAGTATTCCTCTTATTTTATATGATATCCTAGAAATCCTGAGGAGGTGACATTTGTACCTGAGGCTTGAATGATGGGTAGCTATTATCACCCTTATCTTACAGATGTGGAAACTGAGATTTGGCCATATAGATAGCACACAGAAGGTAGTTCTTCTGGAAGGGCCTGATGAAGTGTGTTTGCAGTAGTTAGATTGTACTGGAGGGGGGCGCCTGGGTGGCTCAGTGGGTTAAAGCTTCTGCCTTCAGCTCAGGTCATGATCCCAGGGTCCTGGGATCGAGACCCGCATCAGGCTCTCTGCTCAGCAAGGAACCTGCTTCCCTTCCTCTCTCTCTGCCTGCCTCTCTGCCTACTTGTGACCTCTGTCTGCCAAATAAATAAATAAAGTATTAAAAAAAAGTAATTAAAAAAAAGATTGTACTGGAGGACACACTTTGTATAACTGTGGAACTATCTAATGCTTTAGGAAGTCCAGATCTACAAGAGTTGTTTCAAAGAGGCACTTACTCTGGCCTCAGAAAGGGACCTAAATAGTTTCTTGACTGGGTAAAGGAAGTTCCTTGCAGACCAGCAATTTTATGTTGAATTATTTGGCCTGAGTGGAGGTTGGTGGAGATTCCAGATTGGGTCTTTTTTTTTTTTTTTAAAGATTTTATTTATTTATTTGACAGAGAGAGATCACAGTAGACAGAGGCAGGCAGAGAGAGAGAGAGGGAAGCAGGCTCCCCGCTGAGCAGAGAGCCCGACTCGGGACTCGATCCCAGGACCCTGAGATCACGACCCGAGCCGAAGGCAGTGGCTTAACCCACTGAGCCACCCAGGCGCCCCCCAGATTGGGTCTTAAAGGCACTGCAGGGTAGAACAAAGAACTAGATTCAGTGAAATTCAGTAAAAATTTGTTCACCTCCTATTTTGTACCAGATAGTCTCACCATGTGTCATACAGCGTGGATATAAAGATAAGTGAGATGCCTTTTATGCTGTTTGTCTTTCTAGATTAACTCTCTATTCTTGGGGCACCTGGGTGGCTCAGGTATTAAACGTCTGCCTGAGGCTCAGGTCATGATCCCAGAGTCTTGGGATCGGGCCCTGCAACGGGCTCCCTGCTTGGTGGGAAGCCTGCTTCTCCCTCCCCCTTGCTTGTGTTCCCTCCTGGCTGTTTCTCTCTGTCAAATAAATAAATAAAATCTTTTTTTAAAAAAAGTCTCTATTCTTTTTCACCCAGATTTGTTTCCAGGAGACACACCTTGCCCCCTGGATCTCAGCAGAATTCAGCCTAAGGGAAGCCCTCACAGAAGGTCATAAGGAGTGGGGACAGTATCTGTGACCCCCACTGAAGGTCCTAGAACCTCTCAAGTCACTCCCTCTACACACACACCCCCAACACATACACTTCTCTTGTGCTGTTTCTAGTTGCTCCCTCCCCTTCAGGCCTGCTTTGGTAACAGCTTCTCTGATACTCACCCTAACAATACTACTGTACCCCTGTGGTTTCCCTATACCTTTGTAAATAATCTCTTTATTAAATCATTCTCAAATTCTCTTGTTTTCAATCAGGAGGAAAACAAAAGGCCTAAAACAAAGGGTTTTCTCCTCTTGTGTCTTCTTCTTTTTATACAAGAGGAGAAGATCTCACAGCAGATTTTCACCTCCATCTCCTTAAACCAAACTATTAAATGGCTATCTCTAGCTGCAAGGGAGCCTGGAAATTTTAGCATTTTCTTTTCTACCCTCTATAGTAAAGGAAGGCAAAAGAGAGGTGATTAGGAATAAATGTTCAGTGAGCCAAATCTATAAGACCTGCACACCTCAGGAACAAGATATTTGTTTATTAAATATCAATCCCCTTGAAGATTAATGCATAAATGTTTACTTTGTAGAGATCATAGGTATACAAAGATCACCAATACAGGATCAACTCAAGAAAGTAAACCACTTTTTTTTTTTTTGTCAGAGAGAGAGAGAGAGTACATATGCACACAAGTAGGGGAAAGAGGCAGGCAGAGGGAGAAGCAGGCTCCCCACCAAGCCTGACGTGGGACTCGATCCCAGAACTCTGGGATCATGACCTAAGCCAGAGGCAGATGCTCAACCGACTGAGCCAGGCATCCCGAAGGTAAACTATCCTAATGGCAGGTAAATGGGCTTGGAATAAAATTTCTAGTGACAGCGTCATATACCTTGCTATGTCTCAAACAACTGAAATAAAATAAAGATTAAATACTCCCAGAAAATTGTTTTAAGTATCTCTATGAAAAGTGAAAACAGGGTGCCTGGGTGGCTCAGTGGGTTAAGCCTCTGCCTTCGGCTCAGGTCATGATCTCAGGGTTCTGGGATCGAGTCCCGCATCGGGCTCTCTGCTCAGCAGGGAGCCTGCTTCCTTTCTCTCTCTGCCTGCCTCTCTGCCTACTTGTGATCTCTCTCTGTCAAATAAATAAATAAAATCTTTAAAAAAAAAAGAAAAGAAAAGTGAAAACATTTTTACTCTGTTTGTATCAAAAGTATGGGTTTTGGGGCAGCTGGGTGGCTCAATTGGTTAAGTGACCAACTCTTGGTTTCACCTCAGGTCGTGATCTTGGGGTCCTGGGATTGATCCCTGTGTCAGGCTCTTCGCTTAGTGGGGAGTGTGCTGGAGATTCTCTCTTCCTTTCTATCTCCTTCCACCCCTCCCCCTTCTTGTGCTCTCACTCTCTAAAATAAATAAATAACTTTATTAAATATATGGGTTCCAGGAATACCTGGCTGGCTCAGTCTGCAGAGCATGCAACTTTGGGTATCAAGATCATGAGTTTGAGCCCCACGCTGGGCATAGAGATTACTTAAAAACAAGAGCAATGATGACAAAAACTTGGTGGTTTTAAAAAACAATGTATTGGGGCACCTGGGTGGCACAGTGGGTTAAGCCTCTGCCTTCCACTCAGGTCATGATCTCAGGGTCCTGGGATTGAGTCCTGCATCGGGCTCTCTGCTCAGCGGGGAGCCTGCTTCCTCCTCTC